ATATGAAAGCATGTTCGCATTAAACAAAAATGCCATACCTAAGTGAAAATTGCACTATTATCTCACAATTTTAAGATAATAACCTGAAATTTTCATTTAGTTCTACCCATTTGTTTTTTCTTTGGGAACATGTTTCCATACATACCAATGAAATTAAAAATGGCAATTAAAAATGTTAAAATTAGGAAAAACAAAACTGAAAATATGACCGCAGCATAAATTGTCTGAAGCTTTTGTTCATAAATGGAGACATTTATGAAATGTTAAAGCTATCTGAATATATTTGGTCACAATTATGGAAAACTATGTGAAATAAATATTTTTCAGATCACATTTTGAGACATCAGCATCATGTTCCATGGGATACCAGTCACTGGAGGAGGAGGAGGTAAGACATTCAGCTAAATCAGTGTATAAAAATGAATTGTTGAATTAATATAAGAGTCATCTTTTCAACAGAAAACAGCAGTAATATTTCATGACACTGTTTTCCTTTCCACAGCTCCGGCAAATAAACCTGAGCTATATGAGGTAAATCCAACAACATAATTCTGATTAGTTTACTAAAAAAAATAAGACTTTATTTGTTCTTTTTTTTTAATAACATTTATTGCCCATGTGTAAATCATCCGTAAATCTAAACTAAAGCTGGGAATGTTATCAAGAATATATGACATCCTTGCTGTTAAGGATAACAATCATGAATGCTGTCGTTTCAGGAGGTGAAATTATACAAAAATGCAAGAGAACGAGAAAAGTAAGTGCTTGATATGTCACCAGTGACCATTATCACTTTATAAAATGCAGATTTACTGTGTTACACATGTTATAACGATCCTGTTTCTGTAGGTATGACAATATGGCGGAGTTGTTTGCTGTCGTCAAAACACTACAGGCCCTGGAGAAGGCTTACATTAAAGACTGCGTAACGCCTAACGAGTGAGTAACAGTTGAGATCATATTTAAAATATGGCACCTGTAACTTTAGCTGTGTGTTTTTTAATTAATGTGGAGTTTTTGTTGGTTTCAGGTACACCGCCTCCTGTTCCAGACTCTTGGTTCAGTATAAGGCTGCTTTCAAACAGGTGCAGGGCTCTGACGTGGGCTCCATCGATGACTTCTGCAGGAAGTACAGAGTGAGTGCTCGTCTGCAGTGCAGAGTGTCTGTCATATTTTTCAAGATTTTATTTTTGTAATTTCTTGTTGTTGTCATATGTTTTCCTAGCTCGACTGTCCACTAGCGATGGAACGGATTAAAGAGGATCGGCCAATCACCATCAAGGATGACAAGGGCAACCTGAACCGCTGCATCGCAGATATAGTTTCAGTATGTCCCCACGACTATATTAAATATGTTAAAGAGAGAAGTATTTAGGCTGCTGGAAAGAACATTTTTTAGGATTTATTGAGCTCAGTTTTAGCTGAGTGGCCAATGTGGTTTCACTCAGTTTGGCTCAACATTTGGTAATTCCATAAAAATGAGAGTGGATATCACAAGCTTAAGTTTTACCAACTGCAGGCTCAGCTCATAAAACAGACAAACTAATAAAGTCAGTGCGCTCGTTCCTAGAACTGTTTGTCCTGAAACATATTTCTCACTGCCGACTTTTAAAACTAGGAAAATATTTTGTCTCATCCTTCTCGAACATTTAGCTCTTCATCACTGTGATGGACAAGCTGAGACTGGAAATCAGGGCCATGGATGAGGTAAATTTATAAATGTAAATAATATGTTATTAGTAAACAATGACTGGACTTCCAAGATACTGATTGATTGTTTGTTTTTTAATTTGTTCAGATCCAACCAGACCTTAGGGAGCTGATGGAGACTATGAACAGAATGAGTAACATGCCTCCAGACTCAGAGGCCAAGGACAAAGTCAGTCTCTGGTTAGTAACACTAGGCCGCAACGTTTGTGCTCTTTATGTCGTTGATCTGTACGTGCAGCACACCTTGAGGCAAAACATGACCAGTCAGGAAACCTACAGCCACACCACACAGCACCTATCCAGTTCCAGAATTGCTGATACAAGGCAGGGTGAATCTATACTGTCACGTTGTTTATGTCAAACTCTGACCCTACCATCTAAATGTTGGAGCAGAAATCAAGCACCATTTTTCCAATCTTCCATTGTCCAATTTTGATCCGCATGTGTGAATTTTAGCCTCAATTTCCTGTTCTTAGCTGACAGGAGTGACACCTGGTGTGGTCTTCTGCTGCTGTAGCTCATGTGTTTCCCTGCAAATGAAATTCCCACCAGTCGTGCCATGGTCACAGTCATTTAAATTTCTTCTCTGTGCTGTTGCTCAGTTCTCTTCAGTTCAGCAAATTGTTTTGACCGTGTCTACAGACCTAAATTCATGAAGTTGCTGCCATGTGATTTTCTGATTTGATTTTAATAGTTAACAACTAGTTGAACAGATATAATTAAAGTGGCAGGTCAGTAAGTGTGATCCAAAACTATCATTCATGGCTCCGACACACAAGTACTGCGTGGCTACTCTGTAGTTACTAGGATACTATAAGTTAAAAGGGAGCTGTGCAGTTCAGTGATGAAGGAAAAGAGAGGGGTTGAAGAAAAGTGTGAAATCGTAGGACTTCTTGCTAAATTCTGAAAATCTAACTTAATCCCCCTCCTCCTATTAGCTATTGGGGTACGGGTTTCCTATGTGTCCGTATTCATGCAAGGTAAAACTTTGTTTTGCATCTGGTGCGACCGTACCATTATCCATGCAACTAGCTGAGCAGTGGTTATAAAGTACCTGATCTTTGATGTGTTTATGATCATATAGTTCTCTTAACTGACATTTTTCCAACAGGCTGACCACCCTGAGCAGCATGTCGGCCTCGGATGAATTGGATGATAATCAAGTTCGCCAGATGCTCTTCGACCTGGAGTCAGCCTACAACGCCTTCAACCGCTTCCTCCACTCCTCTTAAAGCGCCTCTCTGTCACGGATAAATCTGGAATCCTGACTCTAAAGCCTGTTAATTTAAAAGAAGAAGAATGCTGCTTTCTGTGGGTTTACGTCCCCTCCTCCTTCTGTTCTTCTAGCTGTACAATTGGTCTCTGTGTTCTTTAATCGGGATGTGTACAGGTCACTCTGCTGTCATCTCAGCCTCGTCAGCTCGGCTCGCTTTGTTCTGTGAACTGTTATCCCCCCCTTTTTTCTATCCAGATTTGTGTGATAAATGCATTAACAGTGGCTGAACTTCATACTGTAACATCGAGAAGCCTATTTTATACCCGGGGTTTGCAGCAAACCAATAAACAAACATGATACAGGAAAGATCTGCATAACAGCAGATTTCTTTTCTTTTCACTTTTCATACCCTAATTGTATTTCTGACTTAAACATAATTTACTACATTTGTTTTCTACTAACAGGTTTTTGCTGTAGTATCGTATATAATTGTAATTACATAATTATTTGGGCTTTAAGATGATTAGTTTGCAGTTCAAAGAAATCATATTGAAACTAAGGTGAAAGAAAATAGTTCTGATTTTGATTTTTCTGTCGCTGTCTCTTCTCATGTCTTATCCATTATTTTCAGTTAAGTAAAGGCAAAAAAGGGAGCTCACTGCCTCCCTTTTGTTGTTTACCAAATATGTTTCAGCTCCCAAACACCATTAGGGAGAACATATTTATTGCAATGTATCGTTGTAAATAATAGGTTTGATTTTTAAATAAAAGCACGTAACATCTTTTTAGGAATAAATTTTAAAAGGAAAGAAAAAATCTACGTCTATCTTCTTTTGTGCTGTGTCCGTGTCAGATATGTGATTTATTAATCATTTTTAAATCTTTTGAAAAACAGAATATCTTCCAAAACATTTCAGTCTTGAAAACAAAAAGGAAGCGCAGACTGATTCCAAACAAGTCGAGGGGAGTTTGCTCATACGTGTTTTAATGAATAAAAGACTGCAGATGCGCCCTACTGAAAGCATTCACGACAGCTGGAGCTGCTCGTGGTCTTGTGAAGTTTGGCCTTGTTGGCGAGGACCACGACGGTGTCATGGGCAGGCTGGAAAGTCTGAAGTAGGCTCTGACACTTCTGCTCCACCCCTAGGATGTGAGCGTTTTTGGACAGTTTCTCCTCGACAATCATCAGGTGCTTGTGTTGGAGCTCCAGGTTCTGACTGTAAAGGATGGCAACAGAAATGAGCAAGCACGGGGTATTATGGAAGAAAATGGTGTCATGATCAGTGTGAGGCTTTTGGGAATGGGCTGACTCACTGAGAGAACTTCAGCGCCGAGCGAAGTCCAGCTCCTATTTTTACCAGGTCGTAATTCTCCAGCGTGAGGCTGATGTGCGGCTGAAGGAGGAGCAGCAGAGAGAGAAAAAAAAGGGTTAAAGTTAAAATGTTTCAAAGGACAGTGGAGACTTTCTGACAACAGTCATGTTTGATATGGCACTCACCAAGTCCCGGCAGAGCTCGTATCCAGGTCTCTGGTTGAGGATGTCCAGGCGGTGGGAAGCATGATCCAGTTTGGTGTCACAGCTCCTGATCTCACACTTCAGTTTCTGTATTTCTTTGGTCTGATCAGAAATGTCATCACTGATCTGAAGGTTAAAGGAAGTCAGAGAATGATGAGCAGCAAAGAAAAAAAAAAGGTGATTCGTGGTGATTAAACTCCAGTGCACTGACCTGCTTTCTTTTCAAGAGCAGCATTTCCTGGTTTCTGGTCAGTTCGTAGATTTTCTTCCTCAGAGCGTCGTCTATCCTGCGGCGCTGACGCTTGTGGGCGTTTTTTATCTATAAAATTTAAATTGTCATCATAGAAGAAATGGCAAACACGCGATCGGCCTTGGATCTGAGGGTTTTCTTACATTGGCCAGAGAGAACCTCAGGTTTCCCCTGAAGGAAGAAGAGTCCTTCATCAGGATGTTGGCCGCCGTCTTCAGGTCTTTGCAGTGAGACAGCCATGTGTCATAGCCCACATGGTGAGGCTTGTACTGACCGGCAGGCAGACAGGAGCTCGGCATGTTGAGCTCAAGGGTCATGCATTTCATGGTAAACTTGGTGGCTTCACCTTTGTCGTGTAAATCTGCTCCCAGCTCACTGTGGATCTTCTTCAGAGAACTGGAGGGAGGTTAAGGTTTTTCTGTTATTTTCTCCACTTGCCTCTATTTTAAAGTTCTTTAAAGGATATGAAAACAAAAATAACCAGAATAGTCACACCATGATTGTGATTCTGTGCATCAGACCTTATTTTCCTGAGCAGGATGCAGACCTGCGCCTGCAGAATTTCTCCGCTTTCTTTCGTCAGCCTCTCGTCTTTCCTCAGCTCGGCGTAAACGGGGTCTTGGCTCAGGACCGTCCAAAAGGTCCAGTCATGTATAACTTGCACTTCATAGCTGCTTTGGGGCTTTTTCATAATTGCAGTAAACAGACAGATATCACATACAAAGCCATCAGGATGCCAAATAATGTGCTCATAATCTTAAATAGTCACATACTGAAATAATAATATAATAAAACCACCACAGTGATAAACATCTTAGAGACACACTCACCTTCTGGCTTACTAGTAAATAAGTGACCACCTTAAGTGATATAGAATCAAATCCCTATCCTTGTATTCTGTCTCTGAGGGCAACTGCAGCTTATTTTTGAATGCTTAACCACAAACTGACTCTGTAGGTAGTAATTAAAAGAAATTAACACTGGGAAACAGGGCATCAATTTACAAGTGATGAAGAAAAGGTGTTTGCCCCCTTCGTGATTGTCATGCTTCCTTAATCAAATTAATATTAGACAAAGATAACCTGAGTGAAAAGCAGTTTTTAAATGATTTCATTTATGAAGGTAAAAAAAACAGTTATCCCAGCTTACATGGTCCTGTAAAAACTGATGAATTAAGTGTGGAAACTTTGATTTGCCGATTCATGAAATCATTTAAACTTTCATTGCACAGTGCTTTGTATCCTACCACACTGTATCTGATGTTGATATAGAATTAGTGCATGAAAGGCAGTGAAATGTACCCACTTTTTTTATTCCAACCAAATTGTTTCATTTCTTCTTCTGTGCTTTTGATTAGTGTTAGAGCTTCATGAGCAGAAAAAAAAAAGTTTTCCCCTTTACTGATTAAAAAAAAACAAAAACATACATCAACACTTCACACATTTAGATACTGGTTTATGTGCATTTATTTTTCCTTTTTCAAACATATTTTCATGTGCAGCATTTACACAAACATTTTAAGTGTTTGAGAATCTTTTGGCTCATTGTGTTTTAAAGATAGTGCCTCAGCAGTGAGAAAGAAATCTGTATTCACAATCTTAAAAGGAAACTGTGTCAACATATTTCAGCACCAGTGAAGCTGAAGTGCAGCTTTATTACTTTTATCCCATGAGGGGTCCCTAATATAATGTCCCAAGAGTCTAGGTGTTGTTTCTAAGTATACGCTGTTGACAGTGGGTGTGTGGTAAGCGTGAAGCAAAATGCAGTTTTTAAATTATATAAAATAATGGGACAAAAGCAGAGATGCATTATTTTTCTAATTTTATTGATGGTAATTACCCATGGTTTAAATTTTATCACTCATCCAGTAATAATCATGGCTTTAAAATTAAACTGACTTCCTCATCACCCAAAGTCACCCATGTCCATTTAAACACGCAATAGAAAAATATATACTTAATACTTTGTACAATACTGGTTTTGGTCCAAACAAAAGTGGATCAGAAAAGCCAATATACCTTTAGTCACCAAAGGCTCTCCAATTTGCATTTAAGCTCCTTTTAAATGGATTCGGGTAACTTTGAATATGGGAACTGACATAATAAATTCTAAAGACAAAAATGCTGAATGCGGAGTTTGTAACACAAAAAATTCAACTTCACAGATTAAAAAAAAAAAAAATCACTATTTACAGGTTTTTATAACAATATTCAAAGGCCAATTAAGAGAGAGAGAGAGAGAGAGAGAGAGAGAGAGAGAGAGAGAGAGAGATAAAGGGAGATAAAGGGAGAGTAAAAGGAAATCAGGAGGAGGGAGGGAACCAGAGAGAGACAAGGGGCCACAAGAAGCAGAGTTGAGGAGCGAACCAGAGAGAAATTAAACATGTAACAAGAGTTTCGAAATTACGCATTTACAAAGTCCTAAAGGAGGTGAACGAGGGCGTAGGCCTCCTGCCTGGTCCATCCTCCGCAGTGCATGGATGCGTTTTCCCCTCTCCCACACCCCGCCCCTCCTTCCGTCCTCCCCTGGTTTTTGTTTTAAACATTCATTTGCTTGTTCACCTGTGGCAGTGCTAGCTAGCAACCCAGGTGAAAAAAAGAAGAATTAAACAAAACTCTGTCGTTCAGCTGTCATACACACACCGCCACACAACCTCATCATGTACAAAGAAACCAAACACACCTCAAGTCTGTACATAAGAGGAGGGGAGAAAACAAGCACTCTGCATTCGTCACAAAGATTAAACGGTCATCCCTGTACATACAGCACGCTGCGCTGACGCTGCAGATGCATCTCCACCGGCACCCTGCTGCCTGTGACGGAGCAGCAGTTTGCAGGATTACCGCTGGAGATTGGCCGCACAGCTCTCACTACCTCTCTGCATATCACAGCTCATAGCCTGATCACCCATACTAATTAATAAGTCTACACTCTGCAGTTTTTGTCTTTGTAATTTTTATTACAAAAAGTCATGCCTAAAGTCTAGCAGACATCTGCCCGTGTTGAAAATATAGATATGACAGTCTTGCTTGTTTTTTTATTTTAATATCGAGTGTGGGGGATGTTTGCTTGATTGTTGTTCTCTAAGTCAGCGTCATTGTTCGGTCAACAGTTTTTGTGTAAGTGTCAAATCCTGTGGGGTGGTCTCACACATTAAAACCTCCCATCTGCATGTGAAAACCTGTGAATAATCAGCTGAGCCAAAACCCGACATAAACCTCGCCCACCCAACCAACCCCGAGCACAGAATGATGCGCCCAGTCTCTGCCCTTTTCCGAATGGTAGCAATTTCAGTGTTTGTCCAGTTGAAACCTTCCAGAACTTTATTCAGGCTTTAGTGGGGATTCAGTCGAGTCATAGTAACGTCTGAGTTCTTGTCAAGACCGCGACAATCTACTTTCTGCGCCGCACTGCTGTCTTGATCTTGCGCCCTGCGATTGCTGGCTGTCCACCTGAAGTAGCAGTGAATGATTTTGTAGACCTGTGGGAACAGACACAAGTCCCGTTAGAGCATCACCACATACATACACACATACACAAAATCATAAATACTTTGTGGCTGAATCTACTGAACTGCACATCAAATATCTGCACTGCAGACAGCTGACTCTATTTCTGAATACATATTATACAATGCTCCCCTGGGGGAGCACTTGAGAAAACATTTAAGCAAAAATTCTGACTGCCAGTGCTACCTCTCAGCCTGCTAGGAGAATTCATACCTATGGTATGAATTTCAAAATACTGTTTCACCTTGTCCTGAGGTGCTCTCATTCACAAGATAAGTTGAGGTCATTGATGGTCTTACTCTTCCAAGATGTTTTGACGATGTACCTATGGTATCAATTTAAAGGCCCTACGCCGCCTCGTTCTCAAATGATAGCGAATGACAGGTGCAACTAGTGACAGCATCTCACATACATCGATGGTAGTATCATTTTTCTATCTGATTTTTATTATTATTAACATACACTTATAGATAGCAGCCCAAATACCACTCTTTAAATATTTAATTTAGGATATTTAAGGCACGCTAACTTGGATTTAAGCTGTTTTGATGTGCATACACTGGGAAAACTTTACATATTAGCTGTAAACTGAGAAAAAGCAACATACCCAATATTGAAAGTCGGAGTTTGCCCAAAGTTGAATCCACCTCCAGGTGCACCTGATTGGGGAGCGATAGAGGGGTTGGCAGGGGGAGCAGGGGAGGCTGAAGATCCTGCTCCGAAAGTAAACACACCTGAGGTGTTGTTGGTTGTAGCTCCAAATGCACTGGTTCCTCCAAACTGAAAGCCTCCACCTGATTTAAAAAAAAAAAAAAGAAAAAAAAAGGTGTTACATTTTAATGTCACAACTAAAATCATGAGGCTCGAAAGCCAGCCACTCACCTGGTGCGGGATTAGCACCTTGCCCAAATACAGGGGTGGGGTTACTCTGCTGTCCAAAGGCCGGGGGAGGATTGGGTTTGGCCCCAAAAGCTGGGGTCTGGGAAGGTGTGGCTGGGAAAGGAGATCCGAAAGATGAGCCAAATGAAGGAGTTTGGTTGTTCCCGAACCCAGCAGAGGGAGCCGAGCTGAAGACAAATGGGGTTGGACCTGCAGATGGAGCTGTGATTGAAAAAGAATAGAAAACATAAATACATATGTCGATCATAAACAAATTGATCACTTATAATACCTGATGTAGATACTTCATAGTTACAGACCTGATGAGGAGGCAGCAGAGGGCGCTGCTGCACCAAAATTGAAGGTGGGAGCAGCAGCAGCAGCAGCAGCAGGAGCAGCAGGAGCAGCAGGAGCAGCAGCAGCAGCAGCATTGGTTGGAGAACCGAAGATGAAAGGCTGAGCTGGAGCAGGAGCAGAAGTGGAGTTGAGAGGCGCAGCTGAGGGGGCAGGTGGCTGGCTGTCCTGACTCTGGCCAAAGATGAAGTTTTTAGCTGGAGGAGCGTCACTGGAGGCCGCAGCAGGCTGACCAAACATGAAAGTGTTTGGAGCTGCAGAGGGAGCTGGGGCCGATGTGGAGGTGCTGCTGCTGCTGCCGCTGGCAGCACCAAACAGACTGGGAGTTGGGGTGGAGGACGATGAAGTGGTGGAGTTGGTGACATTGGTTGGTTTACTTGCCAGGAAAGAAAAAGCTGGTTTTGGAGCAGCAGAAGCAGGTTCTGTGCAGGACGAGATCATGACAGAGATCAATAAAACAGCAGAAAACAGCAATTAAACCCACAGTATCCTTTTAAGGCACCAACACACATGTCATAGCAATGAAAGACAAACAGATGTTTCCAGGTTATCACACATCCTGAGGTCTTAGTAATACAATGAGAGAGTAGAATGTTTTTTTTAAGCACAAAAGACCTACACAATCACAGGGTGAAAACGTGGATACTTTGGCATCTTCTTGCAAGAAAAAGATTAAAATTTTATAAAAATGAATCTACTGAACTGCAGCAAGATACTGAATCCCAGAATTGCTTAAGCATTTTTTATGATAGTAAAAGAAACTGCATGAATGGTCTAGAAACCACAATCTACCCAAAGTGCTGTTAAGTGACAGAAATTTAAGTACCTGCAGCACTTTTTCCAAAAGCGAAGGTAGGCTTTGGGGCTTCTGAAGATGATGTTTCATTCTTGTCTGTTGACTTTCCAAAAGTGAAAGCAGGTGGAGGTTGCTCTGTTGGAGCATTGGGCTTGCTGAACGAAAAGCCACCAGTGAAGGCCTGTGTAGTATCTGCATCCTTACTTGCAGCAGCAAAGAGGAAGGTAGACGGAGCAGAGGAGGTAACCGCTTCCTTCTTTTCCTCTGGCTTACCAAAGGTAAATGTAGGAGCAGCGGGTTCTTTAGCCGCCTGTGATGACCC